ACCAAATTTCCACACTTCCTCCTGAAAGATTTGAAATCTCTGGCAAATAATCCATGCTTCCTGACAGTTTACTAGACCTCTTCGCTGTAGTAAAGCAGCGAAGTGGGAAAACTCCCCAATGAAGACAGAAAAAAAGTAGTAGTAACGGAGCGGGTAGCGGAGTACTATATAATCAAAAAGCACATTTTTGATTTCCTGTTTTGATTATTACCTATGAAACCAAACTCAATTCCTTATAAAAGTATTTCAAGTGCTTAAAAAGTAGCCGGATATATATATTTTTCATTTTAAAGTAGTATTGATAATACCGACTACAGTTATTTCCGGTCAGTCTCAAGAAGCCTATATTTCATTGCAGCAAACACAGGTATAGGGAAACCTCCCAGGTAGGTGGTCGCCTCGTTCAATGTGGAGCTCATGTTACTTAACATTCATCCAAATAGGGCCCTCCTTATCTACACATCGCAAGTTTTAGGTCCGTAGAAAATAGTGTGATCCAACGTATTCCAGCTAAATAGGTGGATTTACTCCTGCTTAGACCGGAGCTTGTCTATGATCAGGAAAACCAGAAATCATTAACACGTCAAGGCCTATATAAGAAACAAACGGACGAGACAATTTCCGTGAAGGTCCGGTTAAGTCGACAGCACCTTACAAGGCTCAGAAATGATATAACGTGTAAACCTCTAAAGATCTGGGGGCCAACGGCCCAAGGTCACGCCAAGTCAGTGGGTAAAACATCCAAGAAATGAGGCTTCCTGCAATTGGGAAAAGCCTGGCTAGGAATGGAGTCCGGGTTTGGGAACACTCGGGTCAAAGCTTTAACGTGAACCACCCCAACCGAACGCAGCGGCTCCAGGGGAAAACCCCAAGCGATCCGGACAGTATTTCCTCCCATTCCCCCCAGCCTTCCCTTCCCCTGGGCACCCCCCAACACTCACATCTCCGGAGCCACTTCATCCAATGGTAGACGATAGTAGTGTGGTGTTTCTTGTTCTCTATACACCAAGACGACAGGCCTTGAATAGATTCCATGGTGTTAGTTACCGACTGGAATTTTCGATCCAACGAGGACTCCAGAGCCCCTGCCGAAGAGGCCGACGAGGAGGAGGCCTTACTGCTGCCTCCGCCGCCGCCGGCCGCCATCTTCCCGGTTTGCACAAGCGCTGCTGCTCCTCTGGAATCCCCCATCAACCCCTCCTGGTAGTTATTTGAGCGGCGGCGGCTGCCGGGCGGCGGCGGCGGCGGCGGCGGCGGCGGCGGCGGGAGCGGGCAAAACAATCACTGCGAGTGCGTGAAAGCCGGAGGTGGGGAGGGAGGCCAGGGGGTGGGGATGGTGCACGCGCTAGGCTCTTCTGGAGGTAGGACCGGCGGACCAGCTGCTGGGCGCGCTGGCGGCTCCTACACGCTGCAAGGAGGGGCTGCGGCTTGCGAAGGTTTATCAGAATTGTTCAGGGGGTTGTGTTTAAACCAGTCAGTAATCAGGGAAGAATTACGCAGACAACAGGTCCTGCAAAGCCTTTCGAAAACGCCTGGCCCCCAAACGAATGGTTTGATACTCTTCGGCTTCTCTACGCTAAGGCCCTTCCCCACTCCTGTAAGGCCGGGCTTTAATATCTTAAATCTAATACTACCCGACTGCTGCCCCTTCGGTTGCAGAAATCTTTTTCTCGCCTTAAGATCTTCTAGGACAGAAAAGGCCCAAGGATACCTAGTCAGGATTTTTTTTTGCAACGCAATAGCAGCAAAGGGACAGCAACAGTATCGCGCACGCGCCGCTTGGCCCCGCCCCCCGCTTCCTTCTCAACCTAGAGAGCAGAGGGAGGTGTCATGGCGGGGCGATCCGACCAATCAAAGGAGAAGAACGAGAAGCGCGCGCAGGAGCCCGCAGGCCCCTAGCGCCGAGGAGGCGCTTCGATTAGTTGTGCGCCTGCGCGGCACATCAGCGTGTAGCGGGTCGGGAGGGGAGACGCGGAGGGGGGTTGAGGGAGTTGGTCAAACTAAGGAAGGTTGGGGGAGGGGCTCCGCCGCCGCCCCGCCCTTTGAGGTCTCTCACTTGTGCCTACGCAGCTCACATAACAGGGCCGGCAAACTACCACCGCTCAGCGGCCACTGTCACTGTCTGGCGGCTGCAGCCGCCGCCGCCGCCGCCAACTCCTCGGGGCAGCGACGCACGACGCTGTGGCTGGCCGCCATCTTGCAGTGCCCCTGGTAGCTGCGCATGCGCCAGTTCCAGCGAGCCATTCAGTACGCAGACTCCCAGACCAAACAATATTTTACACTCCCCTTGGACGATACCATTCATAGCTGCTTGAGTGTTTGGATTATAGGAAGAGGAAGTAAACGAGGTGAAACGGAGATTCCCCCGTAAAATTTTCGAGACGAGGAAAGGTTAAAGGGCATGATACGGTTTCACCTTTGCCACGATCTCACAATCGCATAATACATTATAATTTACAAGAGCCTTAGGTATATATTATATTGATCAGCTCAACCTAGATTAACTATTCCATCTGCCTATGTAAATCCTCTGGGCAGATTTAGAGTCTTCTATGGCCTACTGAACATACGCGATTATTATATTTTAATTATTTTATGTCTCCCCAGTAGACTCAGATTTCTTGAGGCAGGGAATCTGTTTTGTCAAGCTCATCTCTGGTAATTCAACAAAAAAGCTGTTGAACGTGTTGAACCAAGTACTTGTCCAGAAGTTGGAAAGTAACAACAAAACGGACGAAAATTCCATCCCTCTGGGGCTTAGTGTCGGGAGACCATAAGCAAATACATATCAAGGAGTAATAAGTTCTATTAAGTATGAAGCAGGGTAGGGGAGATAGAGTATATGGTGTGAGTGATGCTGTATGGGCATGGGAATGGTGGTTTGTTCAATCGGGAAGGCTTTTGGAAGGAAGTGACACTTTATATCTTGTTAAATAAAAATTTTAACTTCCATGGCCGAAAGTCTTTTCAAAAGAAAGGATTTATTAGGCAATTACTAGCGGGAAAAAAAAAAAAAGACGACCCGGTTTTGGGGCGTGAAGTCTAAACCATCAGTAACATAGCTAGGTAGGAAAGACACATGTCCATCGTCCCGGAGTTTTGCAGGTGTTTTTATACATCAAGTAGGGAGGTGAAAGATGTAAAGAGTTTGAAAGAGTTTGCCTTAGCTATAGCCGAGGGCATGGGCACAGCAGGGTCCATAAAGCTCATATGTAAACAAGTAGTGGAGGCTCCTGGGGTTCAACATAGCCTGGCTATTCTCTTTTTAAATAATCTGGAAATAGCCCCCTGGAAGTTAATTCATAATTCCAAAATACGCTAAGGAGTGAGAGCAGTCTTTCGCTGGTATTGCATTGCAGTTGTTAATTGATTAACCCCTTTTTGTCTCTTCCTTCCATCCTCTGGCCTGCTGTAATTTAATTAGGACATCTCAGAATTTTTTCTTTGTCAATCTGCTGAGAACAAAGTAACCAAGCAGATATCAGGAAGGGACAGAAGAACATGCTGGCAGAAGGAACAGCAAGTGCAGAGGCCCTAAAATAGGAATGTCTTGACATACTAGAGGAAGAACAAGGAGGCCAGTGAGGCTGGAGAAGAGTAAGAGAGGGGACAAGTGGTAAAACATGAGGTCTGAGAAGTGAAGGGAGTGACTTCACATGGAGCCTCACCTGCCACTGTAAGGATATTACTTAGCTTTTAACTCTGAGAGGGGAGCCTTTTAAAACAGAATTTTAAGCAGAGAAGTGACATGGTGATCTTTTTAAATGATCACATTGGTTGCTATGTCGAAAATAGACTCCAGAGCCACCAGTTGAAGAGGCCGTTGGAATAGTCCAGACGAGGAAATCTGTAGCACGAAAGATAATGAGAAGTGGTGTCGGAGCCTGGATATATTTTGAGGGAAGAGCCAGAAGGATTGATCATGGATTTAAGGGGAGTATGAGAGAAACAGATGAGTCAAGTATGACACCAAGGTTTTTGACCTGAGCAACTAGAACAGTGTTTCTCAAAGCAGTTTTTCCCCTTATCATTGCCCCTAAGGATGGCTTTTACATACTTTCTCCTAATCCCCCGACCTCACTGAAATTTCAATGCTACAGATACACTGTGTGTTTCTGTACTATCGTGTATCTGTGCTTTATACAAGAGTATGCATGAAGTTTACTCTTTATTCAATGCAGTTAAGAATGACTAAAATCTTTTACATTAAAAGTTTTTAATGTTAATGCTATTAATATTTAACAACTTTATAACTGTATTGGCTGAGTAAACTTTAATGTAATTTATTTACTTATATAAATTATAATTGATTGCATTACATATGCAAGTTATCGATGTATATAAACACATCATAATAGCACTGTGATCATTTTTTAAAAACCATTCAAAACAATCATATTTCGACAACGAAAAACAAACAATCCTGTTAAAAAATGGGCAGAGGACCTGAACAAACACTTTTCCCTAGAAGACATACAAATAGCCAACAGACATATGAAAAGTTGCTCAACTTCACTAGCTATTAGGAAAATGCAAATCGAAACCACAATGAGATGCCACCTCACACCTGTCAGAATGGCTGTCCTCAATAAGCAACTTACTTGCAAAGGAGGTCGAAAAGGATAAACAGTGAAAGGAGAACCCGGAGAATAATGTTCTGAGAGCTAAGTAATGAAAGGAGGGAGTAATTCATTGACAGGTGTTGCTGTGTAGGTTGTGTGAGATGTGGACTGACACAGCCACTGGCTGTGGCAGCAAGGTGATTGTTGAGGGTCTTGACCAGGGCTGTTCCCCGGAAATGAAGTGATTGGAAAGGGTTCTAGAGAGAATAGGGAAAGTGGAGATATACCATATAGACAACTCTTTCAAGAAATAAAATGGGAGCAGAGAAATGGAACTGAAGCTAGAAGAAAATGTAGGATAAGGGGTCATTTTTTTCCAAGATGGGAGATAATTGTAGCTGATGCAAATGATACATTGGAGAAAATATTGATACAGGATAAAGATGGGACAATTTCTGCACTGATTTCTTTGAATAAGTGGGAGAGGATAGGATCAAGTGATAGATCCACATTTTTCTTATAACGGGAAGGTAAAGATATAGGTAGGTTGGTAGGTTTGTTGGTGAGAACGTGCGGAAATTCTCTTCAGATGCTTCTCTTTTCTCAGTGAAATAGGAAGGCACCGCAGTAGGTGCTAAGGAAACACCCTCTTAAAAAGGTACCAAATGATCCGTTAATTGCCACTTCCAGTGCACTGTAACCTTCCACTTTTCTGTTAGGAAGTGTGACAGTTAAGAGCAATACCTCAAGAACCAGACTTCTCAAATTCAGGCCCTGCCGGTGGCAACTTTAGGTAAATTTCAAGCATGTACAGTGCTTGGAGTCATGCCTGCCTCAGTAAAGGCTGGATGATGGTGTCAGCTATTATTACACTTAAACCTTTGTTAAAACTCATTTCTCTTTGTTCAATACACAATCTTTAAGCAGATTCCACTAAATCAATGACTCCTTTCTCTGCCCATTGCTAGTTTTCTCACCCCATTTGTTTGCCAAAGCTTCGTTATTGGTCCTTTTCTCATCTTTCTCCTCATCTTCTCCGAAAGATTAAATTTATCACCGGCATTCAGATTTATTTAAGTTGGATATCTTAGTTATCTTTGATTCCACCTCTTTCATCTAGTTATCACCTTCTGTAGGTGTGTACCTAGAAGTCTCTTGCATGAATTCCCTTTCCGTTCCCCTGGCTTTCCATCTACTTAATGTCATCGTTACCACTCCAATGAGCTTTATATCAACGGCATCACAATTCACTTCCCAGCCCCTCTTCAGTTTATACACCATTACCAGATTAATCTGGTTCTCCTCCACTCAAAAACATAAAAACAACACACACACACACACACACACGCACACACACACAGACTTGTTCCTCATTATCTCCTGAGTTAAGTAAAATGCCTGGCTTTTAAGACCCTCCACAACGGTTTCAATCTAACTTCCCAATATTGTCTCAGATGCCTTCCCTCCATAGTTTCTTGGGCCCCAAACTGATGTTTTCCTTAAATATATCCTGTAATTTTTCTATTTATAATTAATTATGTTTTTTCTTGACTCAAATGTCCTCTTCCATTACCAAAATTCTACCCATCTTTCAAGTGCAACCTTAAGTTGCCTCTTTCATGCAAACTTCCTTTATCATTCCAACTGGATGGAATTTCTTTTGTACGATAGCATCTTCTGCCCTGAATGAAATTATTTGTATCTTTTTCCTACCTCCAGAAATACTGAATTGAATAACATGCAAAAGAACCTTGAAAGCTGTAAATTGCTGAACAGTATTAGTTATTACTGTACTGTCTTATCCAAACATAATTGTCGGGTACCTATATTCCAATGATATTGCCATTGTAAAAGATATTTCAGGAAATTCATCAAGGTAAGCCACATACAGGAAGGAAAAATTAGTCCAATGACTTTCTATTCACATTTTTTAAGGAAAAGAGCTATTATCTATCTTGATCATCTCTCTTTATTCTCTATTGTAAATTCCAAATGACTCTTCAGAGAATAAATCTCTGCTATTAACTAAAAAAATTATACATAATTTGAAACAGATCTGAAAGAAATTACTAAAGTTCACGAAGTATTTTACGTGATAACAGCATCCCAAGATAGGAACTATTCTAAAATTAACATTCACTTGAAAGAATTCATCTGTTTCTCCCACCTTACCTCATAAATGAAGCAGCATATGTAGGGGCTAAGAGTTTGGGCTCTAGCCAAACAAACCTAGGTTCAAACTAAGCTCCAAAACCTACTAACCGT